GTATTGGTATTGGTATTGGTATTGGTATTGGTATTGGTATTGGTTACCAGCAAACCTGATCAGCATTCCCACAACTCCCTCCCATTCTTCTTGTATCAGTTCATTGTTCTATGAACAAGGTCACTATGATTCCATTTGTCAGCCATTCCAACAGATTGCCAGATGATGCTTGTGATGAAGAGAGGCTAAACTCCTTTCTCCTATTTGGGTGCCAAGTCGTATAGAGATTATGGTGTTGTATTATGCCTGTAGAGTCCTACTTTCAAGCCCCTTTCCTTCCTTCTTAGCCATGGAGGCTCCCTGGATGACTTAAAGCTGATCAATTTCTCTTGAACTCCTGGAAGAGAGGCAAGCTATAAATCAAATGAATGAATGAATAACCCATGCCTACACTGCAAAGACCTTTGTCTGAATTATTTTGGCTCTTTTACAGCCTATATGCCTGAAGAAATATACACCCTAGGGGAGGATTGTTTTAAAAATATGAAAATATATTATAAAACTAGACAGGTCCTGAACTGAAATTCTTTCTGGAACTATCATTTTATCAGTTGAAAAAGGAACAAAAGGTTGCAAATGTTCCTTTTAAATGAAGTGTACATTGGCATGAAGCATATAATTCAAACAGTATTTTTTTCTGTTTCTCAGAAGTACCTTCGGGCAAAAAATAATTCTTGCCTGCCTACCTGCCTGCAATTGTAACTAAAAACTATAGAACTAAATATGGAAAAGAACTGAGTGTTTCTCCCAGTGTAGAAAAAGTATCTGACCAAAGCTATTTCATACCTAAAAACGATAGGTACATTAATTTATTAAGATGTAGGTAGTCTCAGATCATACTGTTGTATAAGGGAGAGTTAATTATTTATTTAATTCTCCTTCAGAAGTACTGAAATGTGGACTGAAGCATATTTTCTGAGAAAAATCCTGAGCTCAACAGAATTGACTCTCAGATAACTTTAGAATTACTTGCTTAGATTAGCTAGTATCTTCGTCTAGTTACTCTTCTTAGTGACAGTGTTTCCCCCCTAAAATCTGAACCAAAGATGGTATTTTATTTCTTGAAGCTACTCCATGGTAGATTGAGTACTCATGAGAATCCTTTATCCAGTTTCTCAAATTATAATAAGCATGTTTGTACAACAGTTACATCCACTATATTCCTTGTACATTGGTAACGTATGTGCTGACTGCAAAGATGTTATGCTTGGCTTTTTAAACTGTTGCACCCTATGAAAGGTTCTAATATCAACCAGTTAAAATATTTTAAACAATATTGAAGAGTTAAATAAATGCCTAAATCCTCCCTTTTGAAATAAAAAGGGGTAGAATTTAACTGTGGCTGGATTAGGTTGTGTATTTTATTGTAACCTACCAAGAGACTTTCATAGCTGGCAGTATAAAAATATAATAAATAAGTGTATTTGTTAAACATGTCCATGAAAACTTGTAATCACATTTTATGTGAAATCTAAGCCATAGAATTCAAGAATTTCAAACTTAATGATCTGTTATTTTATGAGGGTGAAATCATATTTTGGCAAGGAGGTTTTTGGATTACACTCAAGGAATTCTGTCATGGTTATAATCTTAAAAATATTGTGATTTTTATGAGATTACTATGAAGGATGTGGCCTGGAATATACATGCTTATTCACCCTGCTTGCCCTGAAGATATGAATATTTTAATGTTCAAAAGTCTCAAGAGTTTTTTGGTAGAATATTGTAAGAGGTTTTGCAGATGGACCAGCTGCATAGTATTTATTTATTCTAATTTCGAGGCTGCCTGACTCCTTGACACTCTGGGCAGCTTACCGATAAAAGAAAAAGAATATATATAAGAAGTGTATGCTAGTATTCTTAGTGCAGTATTTCTCAGTCTTGGCTGGGGAATTCTGGGAATTCAAGTCCACACATCTTAAAGTTATCAAGATTAAGAAACACTGCCTTAGTGTGTGCATGTATATTTTGTACACAGCTATAATATCTACCTTAGAGATAATCAAAAGGCATCTCTTTGCACAAAAGCATTCCTTACATAATACAGGATGTCCTCATTTAACAGTGGCAACTGGGACTGGAATTTCCATTACAAGCACCATGATCATAAAGTGTGACATGATATGACTCTGCTGCTTAGTGACAAAAATTCTGGCACTTCTGGTTGCTGTCAGTAAGTGAATTGCATGCTGTCATTAAGTGCAACATCACGTGGTCGCCTTTTGCGACTTCCTGCCAGCTTCCCCATTAACTTTGTTTGTAGGAAGCCAGCAAAGAAGGTTGCAAATGGTGATCACGTGCCCACGGAACACTGCAACATCAAAATTGTAAGCAGGTTGCCGTGGTCACCAAGTCCCTGGATCATGATCACGTGACCATGGGGATGCTGTGACTGTCATAAGTATGAGGACTGGTCATAACTTCCCTTTGTTCAGCACTGTTGTAAGTTCGAACACTGACTGAACAAGTGGTTGTTAAGTGAGGATCACCTGTGTTAGCTAAGTTGTTGGCTACCAATTGTGCCTGTTTTTGGATGCCCCATCTAATGAAGCAGTACTCTATCCTTTAAGAAATGTAATTGTAATGCCCAATAATGTATGTATGGAAGATAAATACAAAAAAGTATTTATTTACCAAGGACCAGTAACATGTACTTTAGGATCACTTTCAAACTACTAAAAGTATTCTTCTAAATCCAAGAAAAATTAATTAAGGGATGGTTTTTCCAGCATATAACATGAGGTATTAGTTCTCTCTGGGAACTGGGTACCAAGATCTAAACTAGTATTGAAGAAGATCTCAACTAAAAAAAAAATATGAATGGGATTCTCTAGCAAATCCCACAAAGAAATATCTACTAGACTATTGATCACTAGAAAAGTTCTGTTACAGAGATATTTTACCTATAACTATCAATAACTTCTTCAGCCAAAGCCTAAGTCTAGCAAAAGTCCTCCAATCTCCCTCCACATCCTTTGGTTTCCTTGAGCACTGGCAAGAGAATTGTTAGAAGAGTCTAAGCCATTACAGGTATGGGTCAAGTTCTACTTGGGGAGACAGCAAGGGACCAGGAATAATAAGAAGAGCTGAGTACATATATTAACCCACAATTTTTTCTTGGGTTGTGGTGGTTTAATAGTTCCATGCTCCAGTTATGGGAATAGAAGGTATTGATTCTAGACTACAGAAATCAGGGCTATATCAGTTCTAGTTATTCCACAGTTTACAGTAAGGATGTCTTAACTGTGAATATTGTTTGAAATAGTCTAGCTTATTTGAAATAGTGTAATCAACTATTTTTTTTAGAAAGGCTATTTTAAATGGAAAATTTTAAAAAGTAGGACCGTTTTATTCCTCTAGCATATGATGGACTATTCCTAAAACTATTACTTTATCTATAGTTTCTCTTGTCTGTATATTGGCAAGTAGGAGAAAAGAAGTGTCAGCCAACATTCCCCATGAGCCAGTTTGCCTCTGTATGTTTCCACAAACCCCTTATATTTGAATGCAAAAGCATCTGTTTTCACTCTCAACTTGCATAAAACAAGAAACAGTTTAGGTTTAGAACAAAATGCCTGTGGAAATAAATATTCCTGTCATACAATCTTGATATAACATGTTCTCAATGTGTTATTTTGATCATCTCATTATTCCAGCATAAGCATTCAGAGCTGAAAGGAAATTGCTTGTAAATAGCATCCTTATATGTAGTCATATTTATCTTCAATACTGTAGTAGTTGGTAACTCATATGTATTCTAGTGGTTCAGCATCTTAGGCTCCTAAGAACCATCCTTAGAGGGAAAACAGTCCAGTTTGGTTCCAAGTTCCCCATTATGTGGGGGAGTACAGGACCCCTACTTGACATTTGATACTACCTTTTTTTGTAACTGTTAGTGTTTATTCTGTTATTGCATTTGTGTTTCACCATTTTGTTTTGTAGAAACATACTGTTGCTTAGTAAAGTTTAATAACATGCACATTTGCATGAACACACAGATGGTATAGGAACTGCAGATAAAATCAGCCAGATCAAAGGCTTGCTAAAACAAATGGTGTTCAGTCAGCCACAAAAGCCATCAAGATGGTTGTTGGAGCAGAGAAAAGAGTCCCACCATTTTGGCGCAACAATAGAAAATGTTCTTTCATGTGATTTCAGATGGAAATGCAAGAGACACAAAGCCTTTTCAGTCAGGGCAGGAAAGAACTTTTGTCAGCTGTAACTGGAGCCTTGTTCTTTTATATGTACAAATATGTTTTATTTATTTATTTATTTATTTATTTATTTATTTATTTAATTTTGAAGGTGCCCCACTCCAAAAAAGACTCTGGGCAGCTTACAACTTTAAAGTATACATAATATAAGGGGGGGCACCCACAAACACCCAGACGAAACACAAATAACCACCCCAAAAATTGTCAGGGATTCCACAAATGCAAAACCCTAGCTGCAGGCCTGGGCTGTATGGAAAATAAATAGTGTTAATTGGAAAAATACTAAATGTATTGTTTTATATTTAAAATGTTCTTGTGTTATTTAAATAGATGGGATGTCTTCAGCTTGAGGAACTTTACTGTGAAGATAATCCATTGCTTCAGAAAAACCCAGTTAGTGCTATACAAGAAGACGACATTCTCACTCTTAAGGTTATTAATAGAGAAGTACACTTTCAAGAAACTATTGTTTCAACATGACACTTTACCTAGTTTTCAAAGTAATTTGAATTTTTGTTGTTCAAACAATTTCAAGCAACCATTTTATAATCTGGGATATATGCTGAAAGCAATTGTTAATCAAATGAGTAGTTTCAAGTTAAATGGATTAAAATGATTTAGCATAATACTAAGAATCTTAATTGTATGAGTTTGGGATGATTAAAACATCAATTAAAAACAGAGGTTGGGTTCAAATGTAGTCCTAAGTTATGCTTTGTTTTAAACACAGGTCAGTGAACAAGCTATTGGCTGTGTTTCATATAACGCAAAACCATATAAGTAATAATTTATGAACAACACTAGCTAGATTCACATGTATCACTAAACCAAAATAAAACAAGCCACCTTATCACTTAGTACAATGTGTGAATCAGTCAATAGCTCAGAAGGAAGGAGCATTTTTGATGTATGCATGAAATATAGATGCTATCCTCTTAGATAAACGTGTGTGAGAGGAGGAAGAAAACTTCTTTTAAAATGGCATGGTCATTTAGAGATTTTAAATATTATATTAAAAATTAGGCCACCTTCATTTCTAATTTGTGATTCTTAAGTAACATAGGTGAGAGAGGACCTTTTATCAGCTTCAGTTGATAAATCAGGTGGGTTGTTTTTTGGGGGGGGCGCCTTTGACTCCTGGTGACTGCCTGGACAAGTCCCTGCGGTTTTCTAAGCAAGATTTTGGAAGTAGTTTGCCATTGCCTCCTACCTAGGGCTTAGAGAGAGGGACTGGCCCAAGGTGACTCAGCTGGCTTTGGGCCTAAGGCAGGACTAGAACTCACAGTC